GGGCTGGGGATTCGAACCCGCCACCTTAGGTGTATGTGGCTGGCACCTTAGCTGCTTGAGCCACAGGCGCCGAGCCTGTATCTCTGTCTTTTAATTATCCTCATATCTTTAAACCTAAAACTGATCCGGAGACTAGAAGGCCAGAAGCATCCTAGATGATGGATATGCGTTGAATATACCTGAGAATGTCCTCATTCTCATTTTTCCATTCCTTTAATTCTCATGAATGTACATAGCGCACTAGCTGCATCCCCATGTGTGCAATACTTAAATCTGCAGGTCTAAATTCTGAATTCAGGTCCTTCCTCAGACACTGCTGCCTTCTTTGACCACTCGAGACTTTAAAGTGTCAGTAAACTATGTCCTGTTTCAAGATTGTGATTGGTGATCTGCCTTAACCAAAGTTACTTGTTTTGTTAGAATGTGTTGGGCAGAAGGGACTCTGTGCGGTGTTTGCTTTCTCTAGCTGAGTGCTGCTTTAGTCCAGAAAACGTAACAGCAGCAATAGGGGAAATTGGTAAAGAAGCCACTTCTTAGACTCACTTGCAAATTTTTAACCAAAGCCAGGGTTGACTATTTCTTTCTGAAAAGTCAAAGTCGCAATGCAAGTGTTGGTGGAAGAACAAGCAGTTTATTCAAGAGCAACAGGAGGAAATGGCTGACCAATGTTGCAAAGAGCACCTCATATTCCTGGGCCGACCAGAAGTTGGTGAAAGGGGAGAGGAGCTTGGGAAATGGTGTGGAAGCTTTCTATGTGTAGGTCTCCATGTCTCACTCAAATGGTTTCTTGCAATCCTGCCGTCTGTCTGACATCAGCTACACCAAAACAGAAATGGGGTTTAACTGCTCACTATTTTCCTACATGAGGAGTGTGATTTTGATACTATAGTGAACGGCTCAGAACTCTTCCTGAAATTTTTTCTTTTATGAGGTACAGTCTCCCTTTGTCAGCCTCCACAGAGTGCTGTTGCATCACTGCTCACAGCCACCTCAAACTCCTGGGCTCAAGCCATTGTCTTGCCTTGTCTTCCACATACTGGGACTACAGACACCTACCATAATGCCCAGTAATTACAGAGACAGGGTCTCACTCTTGCTCAGGCTGGTCTGGTACTCCTGAGCTCAGACAAACCACCTGCCTTGGACCTCCAAGAGTGCTGGCATTATAGGCTTGAATCATCTGGCTGGCCTTTCTGAAATTTTTTTTTTCTTTGATACAGAGTCTCACTATGTCGCCTTTGGTAGAGTGCTATGTCGTCACAACTCACAGCAACCTCAAACTCCTGTGCTTAAGCAATTCTCTTGCCTCAGCCTCCCAAGTAGCTGGGACTACAGGCGTCCACCACAATGCCTGACTATTTTTTGGTCATAAATGTCACTGTTGTTTGGTGGGCCGGGCTGGATTCGAACCCACCAGCTCCAGTATATGTAGCTGGCTGTGCCCTAGCCGCTTGAGTTACAGGCTCCAAGCCCCTTTCTGAAATTCTTAAGGAAGGACCTAAATAGGCATTGTGAAATAAAACTGATTATTTGTTTGAAGATAGAGTAACTGCTGCTGTTATTGAATCAGATACTTAGAGGGGGCATACTGAGAAATACCTCGTATGCATACTGAAGTCTGAGAGGCAATGCTTAGCTAAGTGTTTCTCAGCCCAGGCTTCCAGGTAGGATTCCATGGGCAGTTTGAAGAAGAGCCATCATCTGTGATTCTGCCTGCCCACAGATTCTATTAGTGTGGCTGGTGTCATCCATGTGGACCCCTGTGATGCTAAGGGAAGGCCAATGTCAAGCATGAGGGTTTCCAGATATGTTTAAGACAGTTGAGTTTATTTATTTTTATTTAGAAAGAGGTCAGAGGGCCCATATTCCCATTTCTATAGCAGAAATTGTTGGGGGGGGGGCACTGGAGGCCAAGAAATTAGAAACTCACAGGTTGGTTCGTTACGTGGAACCGCCTCCTTCCTGACTCTCTCCCGTGATAAAGAACAGGAAAGGGTAAAATTCTCTCTGTACTTCAAGGTCCCTGTGCCTGTGGATGTGGTGGTAGCAGGTGAAGTTTGTGCTGATGCCTTTTTTTTTTTTTTTTTTTTGAGACAGAGCCTCAAGCTGTCCCCCTGGGCAGAGTGCCATGGCATTACAGCTCACAGCAACCTCCAACTCCTG